TTTGTGGTCTGTTTGCTCTGATTTTTCTCTCTCTCTGTTTTCCATTTCGTTTACCTCCCCTCTAGTCTTTGTTATTTATTTCCTCTTCTTGCTTTGGGTTCAGTTTGTTCTTCTTTCTCTCCTTTTTGAATGGAAGGTGAGGGTATTGATTTGAGACCTTTCTTATTTTTTCAGCCTTGGCGTTTGCAGGACATTCCTCCCCCCTGAGCACTCCTTTTACTGAGTCCCGTAGGTCCTGGTGTGTTGTGTTTTTAGTTTCATCCTCCTCCAAGTATTTTCTGATTTCCCTAGTGATTTCTTCTCATCCCATTGGCTACTTTGGAGTGTGTTGAATTATAATTTGTCGAGGTGTGGGTCTCTTTGCGCTTATGCTATTTGGAACTCATTAAACTTTGGATGGAGATCACTTTTTTAAATGTGCTCAGTTTTCAGCCATTATTTCTTCAGTCTTTCTGCTTCTTTTGCACTTTCCTTTCTGGGACTTCCATTGTGCCAGTGAAGTTTTATATCCGTAAACATACGTAGCTCGAACTCAGTTCAAATTATAAATCAGAGCATTCCCAGGCGCTCCTTCCTATGGATCCATCCCACCCCGGCTCTGGGGGTGACGTCTAACCTCCATCATTATGGGTTATTTTTGCCTGTTCTGGAGGTTCATGTACCTGAAGCCATGCAGATAAATCCTTCATGTTGTCCCTTCAGCCAGTCACCTCCGTCGGTGGGTTCCTCGCTCTTGTTACCTGTAGCAACAGTCATGTGTTTTCAGTGCTGGATGTATTTCTGCTGTGTAAACACACCGCAGTTTTGTTCATGGATATCTCGGTTGTTACCATTTTATCTTCTATGGACAGAATTGCCATAAACAGTCTTGTACATGTCTTTTTCGGGTGCAGTCATTTTTTTCACGCACATGGGCGCACACACACTGGCACACACGAGGGTAGCTTTTGGGTTGTGGAGTGTTGCTCAACAGTTTCACAAAGCATTATCCTATTTAAATTCCCACCATCATCTTTGAGGTTCTAGTTCCTCCATGTGCCCCGCAGCACTGACTGTTGTCGCTCTTTCTAAGGTTAGCCATGCCCCGTGTGTGTGGTGGTGCCTTATTTCCATGACGGCCAACCATACTGAGCACGTATGGACCAGTCCTCTCGGGAAGTCATCCTGCATCCTTCCTGTTATCACTCCGTCAGAACACACATGTGTTCTGTGCGGGGATCCGTGGCTGGGTGTGTGTATCACAACCTTCCTCTTGCCTGTAGCTCCTCATTTCACCCTTTTTGTGGTTACTTCTGGTCAACAGCTCTAAATTTTAATATAGCCAGATTTACCTATCTTTTCTTTTATGGCTAGCAATTTTTGTTTGTTATTTAAGTAACGTTTGCCGATCCCAGGCTTCTGAAGTTATGCTGGTTTTTTTTTTTTTTTTTTTTTTTTAGTTTTTATTTAAAAGTGATTTTAGATTTACGGAAAAGCTGCAAAATATAGATAGCACAGACAATTCACATATCCCCTTCATCCACCTTCTCTTAACTGTATTGAAATTTTTAAAAAGCTTCTTTTAAAGCTTTATCATTTGTCTTTAAAATTAAGTGACCCATTTCAAGTTAGTGGTGTGCCATGTGGGTTATTTACTGACTTCTTTTAAATATGGGTGTACATGAGTTCCAGCATTGCTTCTTGAAAAATGCTTCATTTACACACGGACTTGCTGGCCCCAGTGGGAAATCACGGGTGGGTCTGCCTGTGGGACCACGCTTCGTCTCAGTCACCGGCCGCCTCTCCTGACAAACGTCCCGCCAGCTCCTGTCGCAGCACTGACGTTCTGGTGGTGCCGTTCTCCAGCCCGACTCTTCTGTAAGAAGGATTCCTCGTGGCTGTTTCTGGCTTCATCCCGCTGTGTGTGTCAGAAATAGATTTTCTTCGGTGAAATCAGTAGCTCGTTAATCAGCACAATGAGTGTTAAAGATGTTTAAACTGAAGAAAGAAATTAATCTTCAAATTGAAAGGTCACACCAAGTGTGTAGCAGAATAAACCACCACAGAAGAAAAACAAGTCATAATTACATTCCAGTGACATGTCAAAATATGAAAGAATGAAGAAAAAAATCTTATTAGTTCCCAAGTGAAAAAATAACTATTTATACAGAAAGTCTGATAAAAAAAAATCACAGTTTTCAGCAGCAAAAATGGAGGCAAGAGGTAAATGAAACAATAAGCTGCAGTAACTAAAGAACGAAGTCACTAAGTGCTAAGACCGAGTGACCCGAGACCTAGGGTTCTACACCCGAACTGTCAGTCAAAACCAAGAGGCCTGCTTTCACATGGCAAGGTCCTCCCAGAGTGAATAATAGAACACAAATTATAGAATTATATAAACTGCATGTTATTCTATAAAACTTAGAGAACAAAACTTAGAAGGAAATGAATCGAGGAAGAAATTAAGTAGGACAAAGGCGACAGTGAACAGAGTAATTAGTGAAACTATTGTTAAATCTGATTAAGCATGGGTTTTCAAAAAGTTTTATATGGAGAGCCAGCCACGGATCCAAACATCAACACAGGATGTCAGGAACACAGACAGGGCAACAGGAAGGAGTTGAGTCTGGCATCCCGGGAGGGAGAACGGAGGTATTGATTTACTAATTTAAGAGAAGCAAATACACATGGGGTCATATCATTTATGGAAAGATAAACACCGACCGTAATCCTAACTCCATGAAAAATGCATGCTAGGTAATAGGCAGCAGTGGTCCTGGACACAATATAATTCAAGGCAAAAACCATTCTGAAGAATTAAGGGAGGTGTTCCAGTCAAGGTGAGGCACTCTGTGATTAATTGAAGCACATTTAATGTTTAATGAATGAACTATTTTCAGAGGCCTGGGAAGAGGTAAGGAGACCTGGAAGGAACGCCAAGTTCCACCGAGGACCTTGAGGAAAGGACAGAGAGATGACGTTGGGGCCCAGCGGGGTCACAGCTCCGAGAGAGGCTGCCTGGCAGAACCTGCCACTCGGTGCAGGGTGGAACGGCTTTGAAGAGCCAACGTTCACCGAAGTCTGTGCACCCACACAGACCTTAGTTCAAATTCTACACCCCTTACTAGCTACATGCCTCGGGTCCATGCTCTCTCCTGTAAAATGGGGACCCTAAAGCGTACCCAACCCTAGTGTTGGCACAAATCCTAATAAAGTAGACTGGAGCCAGCTGGTGCTCGCCCTGCCAGTATCCGCAGACAGACCTGGGCCGCGTGCATCTCCAGGGTCGGGCAGGTACAAGAAGTGACGCTGTTGATGGATTGGGACAATCGGCTGTGTGTTGTGCACATTTATTATCCTTATTCGGGAGCTCTTGTGATTTGTGGAATTTATATTAACCTCACCAAAAAAGTGCAGCCTGAAAGTTAATTGATTTAATTTTCTGGCTCCCACTGATGGTGTTAGCGCGGGCGTCCCAGGCAACGAGGATTAAAGGCGCTCACACAAGGGGTTGTTAGCACAGGCCTCAACCATTGTACCAGGGGACCATGCCACTCAGAGTCTGAATTCTTTTCCTATAGGACGGCCCACCCTAGAAGCTTCAGTCCCTCAAATGGGCTGCCATTGCCCACCATCTGTTCACTATCCTCCCAGGTCTGGAAGGGGCAGCTGGTGGCGCCTGGCCCCGTGTTCCCCCAGGTGTCTCCCGGGACTCCTGCCTCAGTAGGTCTTCTGCTCCTTTTCTGTGCAGCTCCCCTCCCCTGCCAAGGCTGGGCTCACCCAAGCCCAGATTGGGGCCACAAGCTGCAGCCTCCAGGGACCCTCCCTGACCCCTCCCACCCTCAGGCAGGCTGTTTTCACACTTTGGTGACCTGGGCCACGGGCTTGGTGCAATGTAGCCACGCCTTCATTTCTGGGATAAATAGACAGCCCAATCAACCCAATGGGGCAGGGCTTCACCTCCATGGCTGAGCCCTGGGACCCCTGACTGGATTCCCCCGAAAAGAGCACACGCTGAGGAGAACCGAGCCCTGGGCCTGAGCTGAATAGGGGACACTGGGGACCAAGGGTTGGTCCTGGACCAAGGAACCGGAGATCCGTATCTTCGTGGAACATTGCAGCTGCTGTTGCTCTCCTCACGCATTCCAGGAACCTGCTGGAAAGAATGAACCCTTCTAGCAAAACCATGAGTAGCGATGAAGACCTTTGGGAATGGTGGTGAGAGTGGTGGGGGAGGGGTGTACTCTCGACTTGGGGTGCTGGGCGGAGGGAGGACCCCTGCTGGCCCCTCTCTGGCCAACTGGGCTTCATACACCCAACCTAGCCCACAGGAGCTCAGGACACCATGTAGCCTCTAATTGTGCAAACCGTGTGTCTACACAACACCTATTTAATAACAAGCATTGAATATCTCATCATTTCTTGAACGCTGGGAGGAGTGAAAACCAGTATTTGCACCATCGTTAAGTCAGTCTACACAGGCTAGGCAGACTGAACTAGGTCCCCAGCCCAAATTTAGGGTTTTTGCTTAATCTTTTGATTCTTTTTACTCCCCAGCTGGTCTCCAACAAACAAATGTGGCTTTGGTGCCCTCCTGTTTGTTTCGTGTGACCTGCTGAGAGGGAGAACAAGAAGAACTGAATTCAGTGTGTTTCTTGGTCTGAGTAAGAGCACCACACAGCAGCCTCACCATCCCTGCCTGTGACGGCCCCCTCTCCTCCTCTGGCTTGTCTCCTCCATCCTCCAGGTTTGCCTCCCCTCGTCATCTTCATACTCTGCCCCCCCACCAAGCCTTATCTCCCTGTTCTTCTAACCCTGTCTTCCCCCCTACAGCCACCAAGTCTCCTGAAGACTTGTGAAGTGTCAGCCTGTAGGGAGCCACCTGCCCCAATCTCCAGGCTTTGAAGGACAGTGCTCCTCGAAGAAAAAGGCAGCACAGACCAGTGGTCACCCGTCTATCCCAAGTGGTAGATCTTGAAGAAAGTCCACCTGGCTTCAGCTGCTCCAGCCTCCTGGCAACCATGGCCTCTGCCTATGACTCCCATAGTTCCCAGCCTCTGACTAACCCGACCACATGGCCCTTGGGGCCTTCCTGTGACGTCCACTCCTGCATGGGGTTCCTACCGCAAGCCTACCCAGCCCCTTGGGCCTACACATGGGTGCCCTGGGGCACTTCCCTCTGGACAGCCCGTCCTCTTCCTGTGCCCTTGGTGTGGTCCAGGGATGCCTCCGGCTGTCACTCCTGCATGAGTAACCAGCATCCAGCCACCCTGGCCTCTGGCCTAGCTCCTTATTTTAGGGGACCCCCAGCCCCCGACTCCTCAGTCCCTCCCACTCTGGCCGGGGATGTGCTCAGTTGCTGTCCCCAAGAGGGACACGAGACCCCAGCCAGCTCAGCCCCTAGGTCTGCGGTGGGAGACCCGTCCAGAGGGGCTTCCTACCGGAAGAAGTGCCAAGCCCCTCTGTCAGAATGCACCTTCAGCTCTGGGCCCATTTGGGCCCCCTGGTCCCCTTCCAGCCCAGAACTCCACCCTCTGCCCCCTTCTCCCATCCAAGACCCCCAGTCTCCTCCCCGCAGCCCCGGCTACCCCCAGCGCTCACCCTGCAGGGCCCGGCGCTGCCTCTTTGAGCCCTGACCTGCACCCAGAAACAGCCCGACACTTGTTCCCTGTGAAGCCAGAGAGCTGGGGTTCTGTTGGATCACCTGTGTGATGTTGTTCACTGTCACACACCGTGTCCCCACCGTGCTCTCACCCACCCAGGCGGGACCCCTTTGCCTCACATTTCTCTTCCCTCTCACCTCTTTCTTTTGGTCCTTGTCTCTGACCTGGCACCCTGTGTCCTCCCAGTCCTGTCTGAGCCAGTAGGGCGTGCCGGCAGCCAGGCCAGTGAGTTTGCATCCTACTTTTTTTAGTCACATGGATGACATGCAATAAATAATTTCTTTGCTCTTTATTGGTTGATGTGATATTTACAATGGATAGCTGTGCTGCCTGTGCCTTATTTTTGTAGTTCCAAACTGTTTGGGGCTGGAGGTGTGGCTCAAGTGGTAGAGTGCCTGCCTAGCAAGCATAAGGTCCTGAGTTCAAACCCCAGTACTACCAAAACCAAACAAGCAAACAAACTGCTCCAAAGGACACCTTAGCCCTCTCCAGTGCTCCCTGGAGAGCCCAAGGCAGATCCCCTGGCCTCGAAGGACCCCTAACAGTATTTTTTGGAGTTGTGGAAGGACAGTCCTTGACTTCTCTGTGAAAGGCCAGCAGGTCCCTCTCCACAGGTCTTCCCCAGCTTCCTGTCCACTGGCCTCGCATGGGCTCCCTGCCCCATGCCAGGTGCTCACTGGGCGCCCCATTTCTGTCTCTGTCGGAGAGCTGCAGAGAGCATGCAGGTGTGAGACCTTCGCCTCCCTCAGCCAAGGTCCTCCCCTCCTCCTAACCTGCACGTGTCTCTCGGTTATCTTGAGGATTGTCAGTTCTAGATGCCAATCCATCTTCAGACTGTGTAGTGTCCCCTGCATCTGTCACCTGATTCTGGCTACGCAGGGTTTGCCAAGCTGTGTTCTCTGGGCCAGTGTAAGATGAGACGAGCCCGGTGCTGGAGGCCCTTCTCCAGCTGGACTCAGCCCCATGGACTTAAATGCAGAGTGTGAGGAGCCTGTACTTGGCCTGGGTCAGGTTTTGCCAGGTGAGCCAGAAGGAGCCAGGGACACAAAGCATGAGGGTGATTAAAATTGTGATGGACTGTGGGATGTAAGAGAACGACGGACCTAAGGAGGGTTGGGAAGTGTGGAAAGATGGCAGGGTTAATAAAAATGGAGTTCAAATGACTCCACGATGAGGGTGCTAGAGAAAGTGCACAGGTGCAGAGGGGCAGCCCTGAGTTCAGTTAGGAACGGATGCAGTCGTTGGTACTGACAAGACCCGCATCAGCCCTGGCAGTGGTGGTAGAGCAGGTCCGAGAACTGGAGGTCGGAGGGCTGGCAGAGTGGCTCAAGTGGCAGAGTGACTGTCTAGCAAGTGTGAGGCCATGAGTTCAAACCCCAGTACCGCCAGAGAGAGAGAGAGAGAGAGAGAACAAGAGGGTTGGCAGTGAGGCAAGGACAGGTATGGGGACAGGTGCAAGGAATTGGAAGATGCATCCACTTGCATATGGGAACTGCCAAGAAATTCTGCAGGAGATGTGTGGCAGGAAGCTGGGGGCAATGACAGCTGTGTGGCTGAGGGGAGGGCCACAGGAGGATCTGCTGGCCTCACAGGGCAAGGAGGGGGCATGAGGTGCAGAAGGTACCAGTGGAGAGGACAGCAGGACACAGCATCCCTGGGCATCTCTGGGTGGAACTGGTGCTCCCCCCAGGGGACATCTGAAAACACTGGGGCTTTTCTGATGGATGTGACGTTTGAAGAGTTTTGCTGACTTTCATCGGGCAGAGACTACAGAAGCTGAGTGATCTCCAGGATGCCATTGGTCCCTCCAGTGGACAGCCGCCCTTGATGTGCCTGCCCTTCAGATGCCCTGTCGGACCCTCATGGGGGTGCGCTTGAAGCCTAGAAGCAAACTCACCTTACATATAAACAGGGTGTGTGTGCACGGTTTTAATGTGCACCAGTGCCAGTGAACCTGACCTCTGTTCTCTCTTCTGGTATTTTTGTTTGAAAATGTACCTGGTTTTATTCTCAAATCCAAACGTATGCATCAGAGATAATGTGACATCTGATGACATGTTTTCTAGGATGTTGTGCCCAAGTATTTAGATGGAGAAATACATATTAGCTCTCCTTTGTATGACAAGAGCAAGTTACAATCACTCTTGTGTCAGTGTCAATCTGTCTCTTTGCGATTATTACAGACAGTTGTAAAGACGGTACAGAGAGGTTCCACCTACCTTTTGTCCGTTTCCTCCAAAGGTGACATCTTTCTTTAGTTGAGTACAATATGGAGCCCAGAACTGGAATTGGCTGGCCCTGTGTCTATGATGTCATTTTATCACCTGTGTGGATTATGTCATCACCACCCAATCAGGATGCAGAACCAATTTCCACCAGCATCTCTTGGGTACCCCTCTCCCGTTTAGAGCCCCACACTGCCCTCTCCCCTTTCTCTGACTCCTGGCCATCTCTGGTCAGGTCTCCATCTCTATAACCTTGTCACTGAGAATGTTATATGAGTGGAATTACATAGCATGTGAGAACATGTCTGTTTATTGCAGTTATTCATGTTAGAGCTTAAATCTGCTTTTAAAAAATGTGTTATGCTGGCATTCAAACCAAGAGCCTCTCCACATGCTAGGCACACACTCTACCTTTGAGCAATGCCATCAGCCCTGCTATTTTGTTTTCTACTTGTTTTTTCTATACTTCATTCCTGTTTTCTTTTGCCTGCCATCCCAAGAGTTACTTGAACATTTTCTAGAACTTTACTTTGATTTATCTCTTTGCATAGATTTTTAGTGGTCAGTCTAGATTTTACATGCTATACAGATAAGTTAACAGTTGACTGGTGTCAACCTTTTACCTGCTCAAGTGAAATTTATAAACCTCTGCATCCCCTGTACAATTTTCTTGTGTATTTCCTCTCCATGCATTTGGAACCACAAAAGGCTGTGTTGTACTTTTTGCTTCAACTGTCAAACACGCTGTTGGAAACTCCAGAGTAGGAGGAATGGTAAATGGTTTTATGGTTGGCCCAGATGGCTGCCAATGACACTGTGCGCTGGACCTTGCTGCAGCCAGACGGGGAGAAAGGACTTGCCCCCACTAGGGCTTCTCCCACATCCCCCAGGGCCTCCTTAGATCCGGGGAGGGCAGAAGACTGTGTTCCTCCTGCCACCTCTGCTGATGTCCTGGGGCCATGGCTTTCCCCCTGTGTGTGACTGGTTGGGACAGGTAATTGTCTTCAAGTTTTCTGTTTTGGTGGGCTGCCCCTTTCTTGGTCTTTTGGCCAGAGGTGAGAGGCTTTTTAAATTAAATTATTTTTTGTCTATCCCACTGGCATTCCTGGGCTGCTGGCTTTTCTGCCGCATATGTCCTGGCAGAGGAAACCCAGGAACTCACTGTCACCTTGGGTCCCTTGCTGGCCCGCCTTTCCACCTTTTGTTCTCAGCTCATCTTACGTATGATGTCTTTTTAGCTGCACTCAGCAGGATGAGAGGGGAACTGGAAGTGGAAGTCTCCATGCTGGGATTTTATCTGAGAACAATAAAACAGCACTACTAAAAATTTAGTACAGAAAAAAGAAGCTTCAGACCCCCAAGACTGCACCATTCATTCGAAATTGAGAAAGTGAGGGCAGCCTTCAAAGAAGTGGCGGGTGGTGGAGGGACTTTTTGATGAAAGAGCTTGTGACCTGGAGGTACCACGAGAAGATAAGGAGGCCCTGGGATCAGATTGGATTAGGAAGGGCACAGCCCCGGTGAGTGGGCTAGCCTGGGAATCCCCACTTCTTTTAGGGCAGGGTTGGGATCGGCTCTCCTCGTGTAAGCTATGAGTTGGGATGGGAGAAAAAGAGAAAACGGCTCCTTCTTGGCTGCCCACGTGGGGTGTCGAGGCTGGCTGAGAGGTGCTAATGGGGTGCCCTGTGATGGGGTTCTCGTTCTTGACTTACAGCATTGGTCAGGATCCTCCAGATTGTGTGAGACCCACTTGATCACAGTGTATTGGTTCAGCCCTTAGGTCTGGTTGGCTCTCTCTCACTTGTGTCTTCACATCTCTACTCAGACTTCTCATCCTCTCCACTTCTGCTTTCCATTCCTCTGAACCCAGGACAGGCTTTCTCCCCTGCGTGGCTGGGGTGGGACAGGAGGAGGACAGGACAGGAGGCCCCAGACAGGGGCGTCCAGCTCTTGATGCTGAGGACAGAAGTCTGGTCCCACCCCAACTGGGCTTCTGGGAGGGAGCAGTCTTGGGAATCTTCCAGAAGTCTTTCTATTTGAGATCATTAAATGATTTGTGTGTAGATGGCAGATTTTTTTTTTCTTTCTATTCTTTTTGGTATTGTTCAATCTTTAAAGAGTCTTTAACTCTGGAAAAGGTAGGTCATTGTTTCCCCAATTATTTATTCTCCCCGAGATCTGCCTCTTCCCTCAAGACCCCACTTGGATGTGAGAGTGCCTGTCTTCCACACCCTTACTTCTCTTCACACCTCCCACCACTGTCTTCTTCCTCCTGCCTCAGCCTCACCTTCCAGCTCATTAATTCTGCTTTTCCTCCCGTTCGTGGTTTCCCTCATATTTTCATTCCCAGCAGTTTCTTTTTTTTTTCCTTTTTCTTTTATTATTCATATGTGCGTACAAGGCTTGGTTCATTTCTCCCCCCTGCCCCCACCCCCTCCCTTACCACCCACTCCGCCCCCTCCCTCTCCCCCCACCCCCTCAATACCCAGCAGAAACTATTTTGCCCTTATCTCTAATTTTGTTGTAGTCCCAGCAGTTTCTTAATAGTCTTTGGTTGCACTTGGTGTGGGGGATGGAACCCAGGGCCTCACGCATGCCAAGCAAATGCTGTACCACTGAGATGCACCCCAGCCCCAAGGGTCCTCTTCAACCTGCTGTTCCTGGCTTATGGCATCCCCACCCTCTTCTCTTTTGAGGATACAGATCTTCTTTCACTCCCCATGTGGCCGTCCATGAGTCCTGCTCTGG